GAGGAAGGGAACCAAGTGAGAGAAGAAGAAGAAGCAGTGAAAGACAGAGACGTAGTAGAAGAAGAAGAAAAAGAAAAGTAGTAATGGGGGAAGTGGTGCGTGTCTTTTCTGCAAATCTCCTCTTTCACCTCTGCTCTCCTCCAGCTCTCCAGCCAAGGCCAGCCAAGAGACACTTCACCTCGCACCCACACACACATGGAGCCAGAGCCAACACACAGAAACACACACTCAGAGGGAGAGGACACACACCTGCATAACTGCACACGCTCGCTCTCTTTCCCTCACGCACACTCACATAACTGGCATATGAGAATTTAGCCACCCACTCAGAAAAATAAATGGCTAAAGCACAGACACAAACGCCTTAACGCACGCATGCATACGTAAACTTCAGTGTCCGAGCACACACACACTCATGCACACATGACACATGACACCAGATACATGAACATATAGGCATCCATATGCTCTGTGTGCAACGACCCATCAAAGACAGACATGGAAATAATAACAGTTGAGTTTAACGACACACACACACTCACTGACTGTGGATAATTCTACACATATGCATCAAATCACTGCTTCCCAGTCCCACACAATGGCAAGAAGCAATGCATATGCACCACATATGCAACATCCAACATGCCTGTACCACACTGTGTAAAACACATGCGCGCACACACACACACACACACACACACACACACACACACACACACACACACACACACACACACACACACACACACACACTCACTACTGTAAGTGTATCAGTGTGTTAATAGACAGATTAGCGCATTCTGTGATCTGCTCTGAAGAGGATAATATCAACCTCATTTCTTCAGTCAGACAAAACAAAGCAGCGCATGTTATTGCACTAATAGTCTGTCATCATGTCCTGAGAGCTAACTGCAGTCAGAGGTTTACAGTAACACACAGACAGGATTGAAAATGCTGCAATGCATTAACCAAAAAAATTGAAGAAGTGAAAATCAAGCAGAATGATTGTAATCAGAAGTAAAACGAGAAATGAAAACGCGGAAATATTAAAGAAAGGCTGGGAAAGACTTTAGAAAATTCCGAGTAGAATTAAAGTCAACATATTTTTACGATCAACAATTCAGTTTTTCAATAAAAAAAACATCTATTTTGCCACAGAATATTTTTTTGAATAGAAAGAAAAATAACTATGACTATATACCATAAATATGTTTTTTATAACAACCATTTTGCTTATGCTTTGTATTTTTCATTTTCAAATGTATGATATGAGGGAAAGGAAAATAATGCAGGCTTGTTGTGTGTCAGGTTTTGATATCAACATACAAATCTAGAAGTTTGCAAAATGCATTTGAATCCAAACCTTATATTTGAAGAAACGGTTTATATTATTTTAATGCAAAATTCTGCATTCACTTTTTTTCTGCATTTGTGCACATTATAAAACCTGCTATCTATATTAGAGTGTCCGTGTGAGATGGAGCTCTAAGCAGACAGGAGCTGCACCTCTTCCAGGTCTCGGCCCATAGTCGACATGTCGCACTTCAGAGGAAGCCGCGTTACACCCTTGTAAAAAGAAAAGAGAGGGGCTCTTTTAGAGATATTCTTTGGATTATAGTCATACCCTGATTTTTCTGCTCTTTCTCTCGGTTCTGTGCTGTGAGCCTGGGTGGCAGCACCAGATCCTCATGTGGAGGTTAAGGCACATTTTTACGAGTTGTTCCCACGTTGCTCCGAGTTGAAGCGGAGAAGGAAATAATAATGAAATAAACCGACGCGGCCTACGGCTGCTGCATTGTGCAGGAATTATCCCTGATGAACCAATTAGGCTCGTCGTATCACTTAACTCCGGGCTTTTTAACTTGCAAGGGTCGATATTCATAGCCTCGCATGTACAGCAGCGGGTCAATTAAGGCTCCAAATATTATCACTCCGTAATGCCTGGGAAATAATTCAACTCCTAATTAATGTTTGTATTTTTTCCCCCATAAAAACAATTATGAAAGTTCTCACTTGCAGTGTTTTGTAAAACCGATTTCTGAACATTAGGAAGCTGAGAAAATAGGCAGTATTTATCGAATCCATTCCATTGATTTCATTTAAATTGCATGCTGCTCTTGTTGTTTCCTGTTGACACATCTGCGTGCATTATGAAGGTTGTGAATCTCCTGCTATGTGGTTTGGTAAAAAATATCAAGTTTATTCAAAGATTAAAAGCCTATTAAGGCCTGTTGTGAAAGGTGTAAATCATTCGCCTGCACTCGTGCCTTAATCGCCACTGTTGTTTATTTCGTTAATTTAGAGAAAAATGCAATAATAGAAAGCAATTGCATGTAGATTTTAGGTTATCAATATGCAATCTTAACACCCCAAACTTAATAAAACATAAGAACAAATATTTAATACATCCTTATGTTTGATCAGTTCTCCAATTTGTAATTGCATCCCCTCTAGCCAAAATATGACGGGGGAAATGTTTCATAGTCCTTAAAACATCTACGTATAATTGAAAATGCATACATTTATGAATTGCAAAATAATTTACAATTACAGGCGAAATATAAAATACACGAAATCGTCTTGAATATAAGGATATACACAAAGGAAATAAATAAATATTGAGGTGGCATTTGTTTTCAAATTGACATTGTGTTAATTTCCTTTACGCTGGTTGAGACAGGTGCTGCTTTTCGTAGCTCGATTACGTTATCAAACACAGCTAAAACAAAGAAAACAAGATCACATCTTCTGATTTATAATTTGAAAATGTAAATCTTTGCTTTAAAATGTGTTTTACTTTCATCGGTCACTGATGTTTACAGATGATCAGACATCTGCTGAGCATGAGCTTATCGATGTCACTTGAAAATAACAGAATTGATGTTAAAGTGATATTTTCTCATTTCTAAATCATTGCCTTTGTATGTGATTTACAAGGATTTTCCAAATGTTTGTGTTAGTGATGCCCTGTCCTATACGCAGTGCGCAGAGCTGTGTTGCGTCTCCATCGATCAGATGGAAATATAATTTGGCCTAACAACGATGAAATCCCGCATCCCTCGTGTCACCTAGTTGATCTTTAAGGGAGAGAGTGGAGGTTTTGAAACACGAGCCCATAACGCATTTCTCTCCACCAACACCCCAGGGTGCGCCAGCCTCGGCAAACACAAAGTCATTATCGGTTAGATTCCAAGAAGGCGAGTCTGTCAAGGAACAGGCTTCCTTCGGAGAATTTATGTCATGCCTACTAAACATGGGAAGATGTCTTCTAAGTGGTGCGAGGAAGGATAAATAACACCGAGTCCCAAAGCTGATTATATTGAAACAACGGTGCGCATTTGTAAAAAGGATTGGGGATGCAAACGTGGGGTCCCAGCTGATGCTGAGCGCAGGGGCCCATGATCCACCTGCTTCATATACGGGAGGAGAGAAGAGGCTCCTCCAAATCTCTTATCAATAGTTTGAATGATCGGAAAATCTAAGAAAACAAGCTTGTAAAAAATGTAGGATTTTGCATGCAAAGTGCAGGGGTGCAATCGTTTTATAAATATAATCTTTGAGAGAGATTAGGCTGCTTGAAATGCAAGAAAACCTAAACTGTATTTCATTTAGAAACACACACCATATTTCATTTAGAAACACACACCATATCGGGAAAATGTTTCTAGAAATGTGATCGCCTGTTCCATAACTGTGGGATGTTATAGTCTCAACACATCAGTTTCGCCTTCTCGATTACACCTCTGGGATTAAAAAAAAAACCGTAAACTATACGGGCTGTAAATACCGTCAAGGTGACAGAATAAGTTTCTCATCATTTCCAACACGGAGCCGCGGCTGTTGCGCAAGAGCCGCTGTGGCCTCAGTGCGTAACAGCACGTGCAAGGTACGGAGGACCCGCTATGATTAACTGCAACATAACAACCATCCTCTATCTTTACTGTCTCCCCCTCACACACGTGCGCGCGAACGGACGCACACACACACTTAACGCACAAACTCTCACTCCTCTTCCCTGTTCCTTACCGGACACAAAACACCGCGTCTCTTAAAAATAACTCTCTAACTTCGAGGGCTGATTGAAAGAATATAAAAACTTAAAAAGCTATTAAACTACAGAGGAATTCAGTGTAACATCCACGATAACAGGCGAGGCATGTCGGGAGGAAATGTGGACTTTGCTCAGCCGGTGCAGGCTATCCGTTATCATCATTGCTTTTCCAGCCGAGCCTGTGTTCTTGCACGGCTCCTCTGCTGTTCTGTAGCCGCGCAAGGGGCTTCCTGCCTCGGCCACATGAAGTCAATTAGCCGGTCCCAGAGGGGGGCCCCTTCCCGAGCCTTTATCGGCACTGGGGTTACCAAAACACTGCTATTGCTTTGCTTTTAAACTCCACACCGCTCATAGACCAATTACGGACACCTAAGCATGTATGTAATGAGTCCGGACATATGATAATCCATCAAACGGTGAAATAAACGAATTATCTGATATTGTGCACATTTTGCATTAAAATGTGTGTTTTTATAAATACACAAAATATGATATTTGTACTTGTTTTATGGGATAGAAAATGATTCATGCATTGAAACACTAAAATCAAAAGGAACACACACACACACACACTGGCTGCATGAATGAAAACACTCAGACATGGTGTGTGTAGAACAACAACATAATGATACACATCAAATCTGATATATTCCAAAAGTGGGAAAAAAGAGGCAACATTTCAATTATATTTACGGATTCTTAATTTAAAATATCACAAACAAAACAATGCTCACATCCACCCACCTACCCCTTACACACACCTTCAGACACACATGCAAACACTCTCTTTTTCACACACAGACTAGAGGTAGTGGAATCCAAACAGCAACATTTTGAACATACACCACAAGTAGAAATATAAAAGTTTGGTTCTTGAATAATTTAGATTGAGAATATTTAGAGAGAGAAAGAGGGAAGATGCAGAGGATGAAGGGTAAGGCTGACATACCTGCTGGGACATTCTGTAGAGGAGGTTGCTGTCAGTGCCCTGCTGCTGCCATGTCCCCATGAAGCCCGGCTGCTCAGCACTAGGCGGTCTGGTGCTGAACTGCATGGAGCTTTCGCCTGCTCCCTCAGCGCTGCTGCTAACGATGCTAATGCCACCCAGACCACTTTTGCTGCCGCTGCCGCTGGTGGTGGTGCTACTGTTGCTACTGGAGGGGATGCTCGTGCAAACGCCAGAGGTGCCTTCTGGTCCGTTAGCCTTAACTGGAGGCGGCCTGGGCGGCTCCGGGTCTGTGCTGGGCTCTTGTGGGACCGTGTCGCACTCACTGCCTCTCACATCCAAGTCTGCCTCCTTGGACTTAGACAGAGAGAGGAAGAGACAGAGAGGGAGGGAGGGATTTGGGAGTGTGAAGGAGGAGAGAAGGGGGAAAAAAAAGTCAGTGAAGGTGGGTTCTTTTGGGGTCGTGTTGCCTTTTTTCCGTCTCTCACTGGTCCTGCTTCTCAGGGAGGATAACAGTGAGAGTAGAGATGTGTGTGTGAGGTTTCTTGGCAGCTCTGGTGGCGGATGAGTGTGTGTGGAGTTAATTCTTGAGAAGAAAGAAAGAAAAAGAGGGCAGTGAATTTCCTCGGGGGGCCTCGTCTTGGACAGGGCAAGACGAGCGGTGCACAGGAGGTGAGGAAGGATGGAGGTGAGGAGGGGGGCCGGTGAGAATGAGCAAGAATGGTTAAAAATCAAAAAAGAGGGGGGTATGGGAATTAAGCAAGGAGGTGTTTCTGATGCTGCTGCCCGTGGCCTCAGATTTTGCTTTAATCCATCTGTCACTCATTTTGGACTTGGACATGGACCCAACACAAACACACACTTTGAAACACAGTCACTTGCATGCAAACATTCAGATGTGAAGTGCTCTAATATTGAATACATTCCAAAAAGTAAGCAAAAGTTGAACAACCTTGGAGCTGCACACGCAACACTGAACACATGCACACATAAGGATCAAAACAAATATTAGCAACCTATGTAATCTATGAAATAAATATTTTCTATATTTTTTTTACAATATAATAAGTAGGTCTTAAATATAAAATGTGTCCTTCAGAGTGAATCAAAAACAGCAGACAAACAACTAAATGTGAAACGTAAATAAAACAGTTTCACACAAAATCTTTCCAACATAAAAAAAAAAAAAGTCAATACAAAAAAAGTCCCGTAAAAAGAGTATTTTAAAGCAATAAAGCCAATAAAATGCATGAATGTCTCTTACCATCAATTCTGTGCCTGTCCCAGCAAAGTGAAGATGAGGTGTGGGAGTGAGCCACCAGCTATCCAGCTCTCCCTGCCTCCCGTTTCTCTCTCTCTCTCTCCCTTTCTCTCTCCCTAAGCTACTCTCTCTCTCTCTCTGAGGTTGTGTCCCTCTCTCGACGTCCGTTACCGTGCCGCCTGTCCTCGCTCTTTCCCTCTCTCCCTGCTTCTCTCTCTCTCTCTGACTCCTCTGTACTCCGCTGCAGCCGCTGAGGAACTGAGAGCCTCTCTGTATGTGTGTGTGCAAGAGCCAGAGCATGTAAGAGCGAGCGAGCGAGTGTGTGTGTGTGTGTGTGTGTGTGTGTGTGTGTCGGGGCCGGTGCAAGCTCAACTGAGTCAACTGTGCTGCTCCACTCTGAGATGCTCAATGACATCGCGCTGCACGCTTCCTCACTCGCACATACACACACCCCTCCTCTGCTAAGGAGGAGGGAGAGGTGGGGGCAAAGCGCCATCGAAGAGCAGGGGAAGGTGGGGGGAGCGTTTGTCCCCCTGCCTTATTACCATTTGCGCTGCGAGCGGCCGGCACGTCTCAGAGCAACTTTCAGTCCTCCTGAGGGACCATGCCGACACACACACACACACACGGCACTAAGCTAAGGAGCCTCTTACCTTGAAGAAAAAACATCTTGAAGACAAGCATTATTGTGTCAGATTGTTATCAAGTATTTGCTCTTTGTTTGGAAATCAGACAAATGCTTTTTTTATACGCCACAGAAAGGTTTTTAATCAGAGCTGAAAATGACTCTGTTTGTAGGGCACAAATAAACAAGCAAAAAGAAAAAAACAACAACTATCAATAGACTTGTTATATCTGTACAAATCTGGTGCCTTTGTTTGATTTTCTCCCACTCTAATGAAAGACTAATGGAACGCAGGCAATCTGCCACCAGCATGCATACTCACACACACACTCACACGCACACAAAACACACACACTCGGAGTAAACCCCCCCCCCCCCCCCCCCCCCGCGGAGGCTCTCAGATTTTAATTAAGAAAAAAATGAGGAAGAGGTTCCATTTTAGCCAAATTGGTCCCCACAGCAGCAAAGGTAAGGGAATACAGTGAGGGATGGAGGAGTAAAGGGAGGCAGACGTGGAGGAAAAGACACACAGGAGGATAAAACTGGAGGAAGCAGATCTATTCTTCCTTTGACAGAGCATAGGACACGTCTCAAACAATGAAGACATCCCCCCCCCCCACCACCACCACCACCCCCTCCTTTCCTTCTCCTTTCCTTCTCCTTTAAACTCCCGTCTCCTCTTCTGCAGCCCGGTCTTTTCACCCCACCATCATTAGAGAAATGACAGACCAGGTGCCTGAGTCCGCAGCGAGAGGGAGATGTCACTGTGATCTCTCCCCCCGCCAAGGAACAAAAGAGAGAGGGACTGAGAGAGAACTTCTCTCCCTGGCAACATTAAATGGCTCCTGATATAGAAAGTCGCTTCAGATGTTGTGTTAAATTGCTGCACACGGGCACTTGGTCGTCTGTTAAAAGCCTTTTTGTGCGATGTACTAATGGCAGTATACTGTTAACCTCTGCTGAGATGATGACATCTGTCCTTACTGTTATGTGCAAGAGATTTCCGCCAGCAGAGGGAAAAGTACAGTGTGTCTTAGCACTTTGCAAATGTGCAGTTGTGTCTTTTGTCTCAAGCTCAATTTACATCTTCACTCCTTTCTCTCTCCCACCCCTCATCTTATTCCTTTGCTTTGTCTCCTGTGATGTTTCTCTCTCTTATTTTTGTTCTATTCTTCTCTTCATTCATCCTTTTCAAAGTGGCCTGTGTTTTGTCAGAAGCATGCCTTGTCGTAAAAGGTGTACTGTGTCACCTCCTGTCCACACGCTCTGCTCTTAACAACTTTGTGAAAAGGTAATGCACGAGGCTTATGCAAATTATGTTAAGTGACAATTTAGCGGCCGAGGTTCCTTTTTGCTTTCCCGCTCGCGCCTCTCCTCCTCTCCCTCTCTAACTCCCTCCCTCTGGTCTGTAAATGTGCGAGTCCATGGTTTTTTTTTAGAGTGGCACTCAGTTTTTCAAGTCAAGCTGGTGGCTCAGCTTCTGACCTGGCTGGTTAATGGCTGTTATTTGTGGGAGGGAGGACTGGACTCTGCCAATATTGCTTACCTCTTTTTCTTCCCCTTCCCTTCCTCCCCCCACCCCTTGCCTCTGCTGATGGTAATGGCCGTGATGACAGAGGAAACGAGAAAGACACCCAGAAGTAAAAAAATCCGGAGATGTAAGAGGGAAACAGGGAGGAAATGGAAAGATTAAAAAGAAAATCAGAGGAAGCAGGAAGAGGGTAGAAAAAAAAGAAGGATGCAGGAGATTCGCAGGCTCCTTTTATTAAAACTATTATTGTGCAGGACTTGAGAATTCCCCCCGGGGCAGGGGTCCATGTCGAAGCCCATATAATTAACTAGAGGCTCAGCTACGGATCAATTACCAGACAAGCAAGTGATAGCCGAATCAATGGAAGATCATCAGGCTCGTTATCAGTGTTGCAACTCATTAGAGGAAAAGTGAGGTAGAGAAAGAAGGGCAAGAAAAAAGGGGGTGGTGGCGGGGGGGGGGGAGTGAGGGTGGTTGGGTGAGGCAGGAGGGGAGGTCAGGGTTGGTGGCAGTGTGTTAGCCCCAGAGGCTGATGTGTGTGTGTGATGTGTTGTAGTTCTCCTCAGCAGCCACTGACTGGTGACAGTCTGTAGGACAGAGTGCAGGCCGCCTGTAGCAACAGCCACTGAGCCTTGTTTGGATCAATACAGAGTGTGCATGAGGTTAAAGCTCTGCCATGGCATCCTTATTCCCCAGCGACACACACAATCCTACAATCCCAGCAGTCAGAGGGGGATTGTCAAGATTGAAGAGTTACAGAGCAAAGCCTACATTTCTGATTGATGATACTATACATTTATAAGTAACTCCCCATCACTGATATTCTAATGGAGGATGTCAGTAGTCAACACATATTTGTGATAAGGGCCAGGACAGTCAGGTCTGTGTACTGCATTACTGCAACTATTTGAACTTAGCTTTTAACTGATATACTATTTGGAGTAAGATAATGTAATATATAAACTTTTCGGTAATTGATTTTTTAATATACTTCAAGTTAAGAATACGAGTTGTAATTAGCCCTGATCTAAAGAGATTACAATTATTTTACAGCTTAAAAAGATGACTGTGTTAAATATTATAACACCTACAGAGCATGTCAGCAATGAACACAGGGGAAAAGTGAGACTAAAAATATTCCTGTCGTCATGTTGCACTTTCTTTCTTAAGCTACAACTGTGTTTCAGAAGGCATCCTTCCTCACTAAGCCAACATTATTTTCCCCATCAAACCTCTCAGCACTGCCTTTTTATTTCCCAAACATTCACATCTAATGGGTCAAATAGCCCAGAAATTGGTTGCGACAGCACTGAGTAGTTAGACCAGTCTCAAGAGAACCAATTCTCCTTTCCACACACTCTGTCCCCTCTTAAATCCGGAGAGGCAAAGTGCCTTGTGTTTCATTTTCTATGCAAAGTGAGACACTCAATGCGAACAACATAGAGGACAAAACTGATGCAGAATATCTCGAAAAGTCATCATTAAAATGCTTGTCATCTGCGTTACTTTTGTGCATTTTCTTTTCTCTATTTTAAAAAAAAAGGCGGGGGGGGGGGTCATTTTTCATGGTATAAAATCCCAACTGAGCAAAACACAACTCAAATTGGCCTTTTACACACTAAAGGAAAGGACAGAATCAGAGGGCAGAGGGAAAGCAAAGTGGGACAACATAATTTGTGCAGTGATGGTGATTATGTGCCGCAGAAAACAAGTGATTAAGGCCAGTAGAAAAGGTCGATGAGGAGGATGCTGGTTCACTTTGGGTTTCTGTGAGAAACATCTAGAGTTCAGAGTGTGCATGTGACAAGGAATGGCGTGTCGATCAGATGGCACAGGGATAGCACTGTCACTGTTCTGCTACCACTGAAGGGCCACAAGACATCATATGACACAGACAGGAACAGCCCTCCACTTGTGATAACGCAGAGAGGGAGACAGGGAGAAAGACACAGAGAGGGCACCCAAAGGTCTCAGAGAAACGTTAGAGAGCCACATGATTGTCTGTGTCACAGACTGCAATCTGGCCTCCACTAATAAGTGCACCTTTGTGAAAAGACGAGGGGGGGGGGAAATAACAGTGGAGTGTCTTCTTCAAGTCAGAGTTATTTAAGATGTTGAACTCTATTGGTAGTCACAAAGGTTAATGGCTGAGAGCACACACTCCTGATGCCTATTTGGCAATTCCTGACCTAATGACACTTGTTATGTATAAAGTGCTCCACGTGCTAATTCTATTTTTCTTAGAAGGGAAGATTCCACTCATGAGGTCAGGAGAAAGAAACTACAATTGTATTAAAACAACAGCAGGCACTGGTACACAAGTGTAGCCACACACACACACACGCACACGCACACGCACACACACACACACAGAGAACGCACTCACACCTATTTTAGTTGGCTCTCACACTAACAGGCTCTTTGTTAATCCAAAGTAATACGCTAATGTGTATTTTGTAATGTACTTTTGATGCAGTTAGGCTACAAAGCAAACAAATACATCAACAAGATATGTTGAACTCTTTTGACAGTGTATTTTAATATTGCATATTGCCCTAAAGCATACATGGATTCCTCAAACTGACTATGACCTACCAAAACTTTGAGCACCCTGATTTTCCAACCAGAACTTGCATACAATTTTACCCAAAATACATTTGCTTCTACAATGTGATTCTGGCATGAATAGGTGTTGGAATATATTATGCGGACACTTTCACTGTACAGAGGAATGAGGGAAAAGTTCATTTGTGCTTCTCTAAAACGCTGATGTTCTATAACTCGACTCTCTGATCCCACCAGGACTTGAAGATATCAGACAAATATCACATAAATGAACATTTATATAAAGATTGTTTACATTCTGACATAGGATCCTTTTTTAGCTGCTCTGTAAGAGTGTGGCACGTCAGGGAAAGTGTTACAAATGAGTCAATAGGTGTAGGGATATTTTATGGGAAGAAGAAGACTTGGCGGAGGGTATATCGGGGCACTCTACACCCCTCCCTCTGCTTTCCCTTCCTCTTATTTCCTCCTCGAACTCCAACGTCATCCACGCTCACACTTGGATAATTCTCTTCTAATCATCTCTTGCTCTTCTCCTCCACCACCCTCATTTACTTCCCTCATGTCTCCTTCCCCTTGCTCTCTCTCTCTTCTCACC